GAGGGAGGGAGGGGAGGCAGGAGGGTGTACCTTGAACAGGAGCGCCATGACCGTGGCCGCACTTTGCTTGCAGTACAGGTCCGAGCCATCGAAGGCCCGCAAAAAAGGCAGAGCGTCGAAAGTCTTGCCCCCGTCGTGGGAGAAGAGGGGGGCGCGCTGACGGGAGGGAGGGAAGGAGGGAAGGAAAGGAGGGAGGGAGGGAGGGAAAGGAGGGAGAAGAGTTTCTAAGCTGCTAGGGAGGGGCACGTCTTGGCCCTCGGCAAAACAAGGAAGCAGAGGATGGGAGAAAAGTTGGATACCACTGCAGTGCGGTAAATCAACCGGGGTAAAAGGGAGGGAAGGAGGGGCGGGATGATGGCGGGGAGGGAAGGGGGCCGGGACAGCACGGAGGTTTCCAGCCATCGCAAGGTCAACCACATGACGCGTAAGCGGGAGGGACGAAAGATAGGGAGAAAAGGAGGGAGGGAGGGAGAGAGGGAGGGAGGGAGGGAAAGGTACCTGGGGCAGGTTGTCGGAGAGGATGTCTTGAAGCTGGGTCAGGGCGTACTGCTGAATGACCAGGTCGCTGACTGAGTTCAAAAGCTTCAGCAACGTGTCCACAAGCTTCGACGCGTCCCCAGGGTCGGCCAAAAGGAAGTCCAGGGGTTTGTCGTCGCAGTCTTTCAAAATCTTCACCTGGGGTGGGGCGTGAAATAAAAATGCGAGGGAGGATGGGCCTGCATGCCTAGAGGGGAAGGGGACAACGCACTTCGACATGGCTACCGCTCCATGGCTGCGGGTAAACTCACTCGCATACATGCGTATTTTTGTAGAAATCACGCAACATTTAAATCCTTTGTGCCTGATTTGAAACCTCGTGTCCTCCCCTTCTCCGTCCCTTCCACCCTCACCTCTCCTGCATCCAGCATCGTTCGTCCGTAGGTGTCCCACTGGATATTGGTAAAAGAAGCCAACACCTGCTCTCTATCAGTGAGAACTTCCGAGGAGTCCGACCCGGCCGGGAGGATGCTTGCGCCCGTCGGAGTCGAAGGGGGTTCCGTCATCGTCTCCTCCTACAGAGTCTTGTCCTCGTTATCTCTTCCACCGTCCCAGCTTCGTCTTCCTGAACGCAAAAGGAAGCAGCACGTAGCGACCTTCGGGGCAAGAGAAAGATAAACGCGAGGCATGTGAATTTCGAGGACGTGAAGTGCCCAAATGAGATTTTGATGAAGTGTACATAAGGGGAGATTCCCCTCGCTGCTCGCTGTTCATTATCCTGCCAAGGGGTATGACATGATTCTTCACTTCCGTGGACTGGCTACCTATATCACCACCACTGTTACCACGACTCCCTAAGTCGTGGGCTGTACATGTCGGTAAGCTTACCGCCTTGCCCGCTTACCATGAAAGCTAGAAAGGGAAGCAGGGAGGGCCCGAGGGCAGGCTCGCCAAGGGCAGAGGTGATGACGGAGAGGATGTATGATGTTTTAGACCATCATCCCACATGTCCTTGACATGGGGGGCGGCCATGAACCCAAAACCTGGACATGGATGCGATGCTTTCGACACAGAGGGATTTTTTCGAAGAGTAGGGGGAATAGTAGCCGTGAGGGCAAATGCGAGTTAAGTGAAAGTTATAAATCGGAAAAAAATCGAATTTGCCCTCACGGCCCATTTATTTCCCCATACCAGGGTAGCTACGAAACACCGTCTTCTTGAACTTTGATTTATTTATTCACTTATGAAAATTCTCGCTAGTTTAACAGATTTTTCGATGTATGAAAAATGTAGAAAAAAGTTTAGACAGAATCAGCTCCAAATCTTATCATGTCTTTTAGTGGGAGAGACTTACAACACGGGTAGAGACATATATATTACCAAGTAAAAAGGCTCTTCGTATTTTCCTGCTTCTAGCAATATCACATCACCAACAACGCCAATTTTGTTTTTTGTTTTGTTCCCTTCGTTCTTATTCTCCTTTCCACCTTTTCGACTCTTTGCCTCTTTTTCCCTACAACTTCTTAAAGGGAGGGAAGAAAAAAACAAGTCGAATGCAGGGCTTTACCGCCCCTGCTTGCTCTTGTGTGCGAATTTCTTCCAACTCTTCCATGTTGACGAAGGTTCGGTTTCCGAGAAACATTGAACTTCTGCAAAAAGTCGCTGACTTTGAAACTTGTAAACGGGTGGTATTTCGCCAGATCAGGAAATTCGCAATAAATTGAAAATGATAACATTATGAGGATTGAGTTCCTTTTTCTACTGATTGCCAGCCATTTATGATGCTCCTACTATCAACTCATTGAAGATTTTACGTACGCATTTATCAAAAATACCAAATCTTGCTCCTTAAGGAATTTCTCGGGTTTTCTTTTTTATTAATCCTGCAACGCACCGGAAACATCCGCGCAAATTTGGCCTTTCTTCAAATTTGCATTTTTGATTCTCACCTTCTCGGCCTTTTTTAAAAAGCTTTCGTGGATTTAAACTACCTTTCTAACTATAAAAAGCACGTTATACAAAATTCTTTAATCTAGTTTTTCTTGCGTTTGCTCGTTCGCTTTTCTCCTTTCTCTTGTTCTCTCCCTCCATCCTCACGTTCACTTTTACGATGTACGCCATAGTCACCACGGGTTTTAAATGAAGCTACTCGCAAGATTGCGCCTGGACGTTCTAGAAGACGCAAGATCGCGCCTGGACGTTCTAGAAGAAGACGGCATTGGAAATCTTCAACTTGGGCCGGTACATGATGACACTGGAGGCAAAGAGACCGATGGAGATGGAGACGGCCACCAGCATCATCCCACTGCCAAAATCCAAGCCGCCATTCAGGTCGTCATTCAGCCATTTTTCCACGCCCCTGACGCTCATTCCCCCTGGCACGATCAAAAACACCCCGGCCAAGATAGGGACCAAGGCAGGGCTGTTCGTCGCGTAGGCGTACAGATTCCCCGCCACGCCACACACAAAGGCGGTCAGCACCGTGCTGCTCCCGGGTGTCATTTCCCCCACCGTCGGCGCCAAATTGATGGTGACGTAGCCAATCGCGGCTACAATGAGCATACTCAGCCATTGGACCGGAGCTGCTTTCATAAGTATGTTGAAACAGGTCACGGTGGCGATGAAGAGAGGAATTTGGGTCCACATAGAGACTGGGTTACAGTTTTCCGTCGACGTCCAGCTAACATTACTCTCCCAGAAGGTCATTCGGTGCCCTGCGTCCCACGGATATCGTGTGCATTGTGTACGGAAACATAAGTTGTGAGAGCTTCGAAGCCAGCAATTCGACCACTTTTCATCAAAAGGCATTTTCCCACATGCCCGACCGGTCGCAACCCTATTCAGGCGCAGGGAAATGAGCGCAAACACAATGTCCGTGCCTCCCTCCCGCGTCAGTGCTATTCACTCACCTAAATCGAGGCCGAAACCAATCAAAAGGGCGTTCATGAGGGCCGTCATCATTCTGACGGTCCCTGAGATCATGCTTTGCGTCGACAGTTCTGCGGGCGTGCATCCGAAGGGAAGGGAAATGGTCGCATATGAGGATACGACCGAGGATTGAACCAACAACAATCTAAACAATGACCCATCCGCCCCCCCCCTTCCCTCCCCCCCCTGACAAAGGATAGGCCGCTAGCTTCCTCAAAGACGGCTATCCAGCGACCTTCCCCCCTTGTCCGTCTCCCCTCCCCTGCATTAGTATGACACCGGCGTGCAACACGACCAGGGAAGCGGCAAGCAAGGCGCCCGCATCGGGGGCCAGACCCGACTTACGACACTAGCGAACACGAGGAAGACGTACCAATGATGGAGGACGTGATGCTCCAGCCGGGGAGGAGGTAGACAATGGGCCCAAAATGAATGGCCAGGGAGCAGGTGTTGGGGATATGGGCCGCCAAAATGGTGGCGAGGAACGATGCCAGCCACGCAGAGGCAAAGACTCCCAACTTCCCGACAATGTAGGACACGTCCGCCATCACCCACAGCCCCCCCGCAAAAATGCCGACAAAACCCGCCAGTAGACCGTCAATCAACGAGCCCGAGAAGAAAAGAGGGGCGACACATCCCGAGGCAATCGCATAGCAGGCCAGTTTGACTTGCCAGGAATACAGGGGAGGCTCGGCGATCATGCTGTCAAGCTTCTTGATTGCAAAAGGCAAAGAAGGAATGCGCTGCTCCAAAATCAAATTCACTGCGAATGGTGGAAAGGGAGAGAAGGAGCGAGAATCAAAGCCACGTCCCCATAGCTCTGCAGATCTGTGGAAGTGCAGGCACGTGCAGCCGGCGGGCCGGACGAAGGAGTATCGCCGCCCTTGTCTCCCACACGCTTTTTGCACCGGTCTGCTGCTTGTTTTCTACCTACCGAGATGATTGACCCGGCGGAGTTTGTACACGTCGAGCCCCCCCCCGACGGGGAGGATGTGGGTCTCCGTGTTGGATGCACTGGGCGAGCCGAAGGAGATGAACATGATGTTCGGGAGAATGATAAAGGAGCCTTCCATGCCCATGGTCTGGAGGAGGACTGGAAAGAAAGCCGAAAATGAGCGAGCAAGTCAAGAATGGCAGAAAAGTCGCACGTTGTCGGAGGGTCCTAGTCATACCCAAGGCGCGCCGAAGGGGGGGAGTCAAGCGCTATCCCCTGGCATGCACCTCCATGGGAGACTGAACTGAAAGATCGCTTACCTTGCATGCTGTATTCAATCCGTGGAATCGGGCACCCGTACGAGAGCAAAGAGACGGCGAGTTTCATCAGAAAATCTTCCTTTCGAATCACAGCGGCCTCGTTGCCAACCTTCCCTCCCGGCCTGTCCACCCCCTCGAGTCCCTCCAAGTGCGTGGACGACAGCGTACCCAGCACGTACTGGGCTCGCACGTCCTCCACATCCATATCGTCGTCCGGGGTCTCTCCTTCCTCAGGACTCTCCGCCCACTCCTTTTCTTCTTCCCAATACGGCCTTTCTCCGAATTGCTTGATCCCCTCGGTGAACACTTTCTTCGCGCCCCAACCACAACACGCGCACATCTTTTTGCTGAAACCGGCCAGTGCCGACCAAAACCGCGCAAAATCGCTCTTGTCGCCGTCCTCCGTGCCTTTGCTGAATTTTTGCGTGACCATACGCGTCAGGGAGCCTACGGCTTCTGGCTGTTCCTCTGCGCCCCCTTCTTCTCCTGCACGGGGACTCGCACGGCTGTGAGAGCGTAAACCCATGACAGCCATGGAGATGGCAGGAAGCAGCCCTGGGGTTCTATTCCGATTCTTTCCCCCCTCCTCCCTGGGCGCCGGGCGGGGAAGACCGAAGTTTCGAATACTCTCGCCACGGTCGGGCAGAGAGGTGATAGGACGGAGGTTGGAGGCATACAGAGAAGATCCTTGCGATAAGGATGCTTGTCGATGCATAGGCGGAGGACGTTGGCCCGGCTTGAAGGTACCGGAGGTAGACGCTGTCGGAGCGAGGGCTGATGAGCTCTTGGCTTTATGTTGGGACTGGAAGGAGAACCGGTGGACGGGATGCGTTCTCGTCGTGTCAATTGAATCAGTAGCACCTGTATTCGTGTCCCCTGGAGGGAGTACCGACGATGTGAACGTAGAGCCCCTGCGCGTGTGTACCGGGTCGGAGGGCAGGCCAGAAGCTTGCAACACGGGCGTCTCCGACAGAGACTGCAATCTGGGATCCTGCGGGCTTGAATGCGGCAAGTGGCGCTGATTTTCGTCCCTTTCTGCACCAGTCCCTGGCGTCTGCATTGAAAAGTGGTCGTCACCTAGCTGGCGGTGATCTTGTCCCCTCGGCTGGTCATACCACTGTTCCTGGTGTGGCGGCTTTCCCGACAGAGATCTTTCTGACATGATCCTACGATGGGATGTATGACGTAGGATGAAAGAATGTGTTTAAATATTGTATGCTTTCGATAGTTATCCGCTCGATCTTTTAATGAGATTTCAAGGCTTTTTACGGCGTATAGGCGTACTTTTTTCGCCTATATGTCCTATGATTGTTTTCCCGCGGGAGACACATCCAGGAGGTTCAAGCTCTTTACATTTTCCCTTATGACACCTTATCAAATGCAAAAGCTTCGAGGAAACCTGCAGATACTCTTTTTTTAATGATCAAACGAAAAGTGCACAAGGGACAGAAATGGCTACTTTCCGCAGACTGTCGCTGTAAATGTAGCTCACAGGAGCACATGTTGCCAAGCTTTTCCCGAGTCAGCTGTCGCTGTTCCCACGGCGGGAACGCCCTTGTTATTTCCCAAGGTAAACGTTTTTCTTCCTCGTTTTTTTCAATGAATACATGCTTTTGCAAGCCGAAGCAAGGACCTCGACATTGCAAATATACTTGTTACGGGACATCAAGGTTTGATAGTAAGAACGCAAAGGAATACTGATTTCGTGGTTTATATCCTTCCTGTAGTGTGAAAAGGGGATGTACAACCGAATTTGAGCTAAAATACGTCTTTTACGTCATTCATCTTTTGACTTATGTGCCTTCATTTTAAAACTGCTGTTTTCATGTATGGGCTTCTTCGAAAAAGCCGTGGCGAATGCTGTAAATATATATGATGAGGTGGTGCGCTTAAGCTAAGAGCAAGGTAATGACCGAGAATTATTTACTGCGCAATCATGGACATTCAGTTTTGTCTGCAGATTTACATAAGGAATTGTAATAAAAGAGTATGAACCGCATGTACGCGATGCATGCAAGTTTTGAATCTTTCTTTTCCCTGCTTTCATCGCTTTCTCATTTTTTTTTTCACAGGTGGTATATCTCCAAATGCACACGCGATCCTTTCTTGCTTTCAAATGGCTACCCCATTCTAATTTTTTCCTCCTCACTGAATTTCGACAAGTCATTACCACATGTACCCTAATGCTACTATCTGTGTTACCTCAAGCTCATCGATTGATCGACCTGAGAAGCACTAATTGTCGATTTTTCATTGACATGTGAAGTTTCACACAAATAGGAGAACAGCAATCACGCTTTTAATTAATCTAGCTCAGAAAAAGACAGCGTTGGAAATTTTCATCCTAGGTTTATACATCAAGACGCTCGAGGCAAAGAGACCGATAGAAATAGATACCGCAATCATCACAATTCCACTTCCAAAGGCCAGGCCGCCGTTCAAGTCATTATTGATCCATGCTTTCACTCCTTTCACACTCATTCCACCCGGTACGATCAAGAAGATTCCGGACAAGATAGGGATCAAGGCGGGGCTATTGGTGGCATAAGCATACAAATTTCCAGCCACGCCAACGAAAAAGGCGGCTAAAACGGTGCTACTGCTGGAAGACATGTTGTGCAAGGTCGGGGCTAAATTGATGGTCAGGAAAGAGATGGCCGCGACACAAAGCATACCCAGCCATTGAGCTGGGGCGCCTTTCATCAGGATGTTGAAGCAGGTGATGGTAGAAAGGAAAAGAGGAATTTTGGCCCAGGCAGAGACAGGTTGGCAGTGTTCCGTGGAGACCCAACTGCTTGTGTTTTCCCAGAAGGCCATTCGATGCCCTGCTCGGACAAGTGCGTAATGCATGGGAGGCATGAGCAAGCGCAGGGATATTGCGGGTTGTTTTTTGTTCGGGACCCTGCAGGGACGTAAGCCTCTACACCATGTCCTCCCTTCCCGTACGTCCTGATTCTGGCTCTACCTACCCAAATCAAGGCCAAATCCAAGCAAGAGCGCATTCATGAGGGCGGTCATCATGCGTATTGTCCCAGATAACATGTTTTGTGTCGAGAGCTCTGGTGTATGTATTGTAGGGGGAGAGTATTCGAGTAGAGTTTCACGATTCTTTCGGGGGCAGCACGCGGGACGGAGAGAATTTTGATCGCACGACCCCGAATTAATCCAACATCATACACACCACCTTACGTCTTTAAACGTAATCATGAATGAAAGCGAGCAGAAGCTTACCAATGACAGCACACGTGATGCTCCAGCCGGGGAGGAGGTATACAACGGGTCCAAAATGAATGGCCAGCGGGCAAAGGTTCGGAATGTGGGAAGTCGAAATTGTGGCACAAAACGACGACAGCCATGCAGAAGCAACCAAACCTACTTTTCCGACAATGTAGGACACGTCCGCTAGCACCCACAAACATCCCGCAAAGAATCCGAGGAAGCCCGCCAATAGACCATCAATCAACGAGCCCGAGAAGAAAAGAGGGGCGACACATCCCGAGGCAATGGTGTAGCAGGCCAGTTTGACTTGCCAGGAATACAGGGGAGGCTCGGCGATCAGACTGTCAAGCTTCTTGATAGCATGAAGGAGGGAAGGAATGCGCACTTCCAAAATTTGGTTCACTGCGAGAGGAATAGCGTGGTTGGGGGGGGGAAGGGAGGGTTGTGTGAGTACGTGAAAGATTATTGCCATGAGCGCTTAGGACCACTAAATACCCAAAGGAGGAACGATCTCTCGCAAAAGAGAAGGATTCCTCCAAAAGAAAATTGGTGCCCTGACCTCTCTCTTACCGAGATGATTGACCCGGCGGAGTTTGTACACGTCGAGCCCCCCCCCGACGGGGAGGATGTGGGTCTCCGTGTTGGAAGAAATGGGCGAGCCGAAAGTGATAAACATGAGGTTTGGGAGGACAGTGAAGGAGCCCTCCATGCCCATGGTCCGGAGGAGGACTGTATAGGAGTAAGAAGAGGCACGAGCGTGGGATAATTGATGACACAACAAAGAGGGGCATCAGGCACCCCTGTCTGTGACAGAGTGGATCAGAGTATGTGGATAGACGTATCCGCGCACCTTACCACCACTACAAGTGTCGTTCTTACTGTTCCACATCTTTACTCTGCACATTTCTCTACGTGAGTCTCATTCCGGTGATCCTCCCTGCCTCCCTCCCGCATTCTCCTCCCTTCATTCCTGTGATCCTCCCTCCTGCATCGCCCCTCCTTACCTTGCATGTTGTATTCAATCCGCGGAATCGGGCAGCCATACGACAACAAGGACATGGCGAGCTTCATCAGGAAATCCTCTTTTCGAATCACTCCCATTTCCTTGAGTTTCAATGCCGATTCCTCCTTCCGCTCCCCTTCGCCCAGCCCAAGCGAGGACAACTGCCCCAACACGTACTGACTGCGCACCTCCTCCACGCTCACGTTTTGCGAGTCGTCCCCCGCATACCTCCCTTCTTCCTCCAACCCTTCTTTCCCTCCCCCTTCCCCGGCGAGGCCTGTATCATCGGCGTCGCTGAATTTTCGAGTCCACGGCCTGACCACATCCGCGTACATCCGTCTCGAAAGCGGGCCGCAGCTAGCGCACGCTTTCTGCGCCAGCCTGACACACATTGACCAGCATCGCATCCAGTCACTCATGTCCCCATCTTCGGTCCCCCTGCTCAAACCTTGCAAAAGCCTGTGACGAAGCGGTTTCTTCTCCGCTCCCTCCCCGGCCTCCCCACTCCCACCGCCTTCCCTCGTCTTGATGTCCTCCGCGAGGCCCGCGGCCGGGACTACCAAATTACTGGAAGCAGACGAGGAAAATACCATGCTTTTGTCTTGCCTGCTGTTGGCCCTGCTACGGCTCACAGGAGGGAGGGGTAGCCCGAAGTGGCTTACGGTCCTCGCTCGATCGGTGCCGGCCAACATGACGTTGGAGGCGTAGAAAGACGTGGAAACCGGTCTCGGGATGGAATCAAGGCCGGAAGTGCTGGACATTTGGGGGGAAATGGGTCGCGATGCATCTTGCATGAAGGAAGAACTCTGCCTCTGGACCCAGGACGTGAAAGAGGACGCATCTAAAGCATCAATGCCTGGATTGGAAGCCGTGGGTGCATCCGCCGATTCCACGTTTTGTCCGGATATGATGGTAGGAAAGTTTTGCCTGTCTGTCGACTTCAGAGACATCTCCGGGGTGGCTTGAATGGGTACATCGTCCAGGACGGAGGTCTCCAGAATGGGTTGCAACCCCAGGTTTGTCGACCGTCGGCACGGTTGCGGGCACAGGTTTTCGGGTACACTTCCGCCGGAGTGATTCCCTTCTCCTTCTTCTCCTTGACCTTCTATCTCCTTCTCCTTGTCGTGCTGTGGATATCGGCTCTGACGGCTTGACGTCTCCAACTGGTTGTCATCCTCGTTTCGATCACGTCGTGGCACTTGCTCAGAGTTGGGGGCACTTGGAAGGACAGCTTCATTCATAGTTCAATCGGAGAATTGTGTGTTTGACACTGTACTGCGGAATTTTGGGACATCATTAAGTTAGTGAAGTGCATGTGACTGATAAAGGGCCCAGATAATCGGGGAGATGCAAATAATTGTCCTCCCATGGGCCTGGCCCATGCCAAACAAGAGAAGTAACGTGCGATTTACGCTGGACATTTTGAATCATGTCAAATCTTATCATTCCTTTCATAAATTCTCACCCTATTTAGACACCACAGGCAGATCATGAAGTCGCTCGCCGGAACGGAGAGTCACACATGATTGTGGCGTACTCGTTTGGACGAGCATATGACGTCGTGAACTGTGTAACGGAAAGATTTGCTCAACTTCAACGGGGGGGAGGTCTTTTTCCTTCGTTTAGGACTTTTGGGCAGACGGTCTTTTGGCATTTTTCAAGCATGATCGCACACAATGCAATGAATAAGGAAAATATACATGCGGAAAAAAAGGATGTAATTTTCCGTGCCGATTAAAGATTACAATCGTTCGTTCTCTCCGCGTGAGATAAATCCATTCTAACTGAGGGGTGATCTCATTCTTCGTCAGAGCACCGGACTGACTCTCCGCCCTCATTTACCTCCTTCACAACATGTGACGATAGCTCTGTAGGTTTTCAAACATCTGGTGTACCCCCAAGCACTAGCATCATGGAGGTGAGTGCCGTAGACGGAAGACGAGGAAATAGAGTCTCGGCCCCATTTAAATTGGAGGTGAAATGGCCGCCTCTTCCTACTCAGAAGTTCTGGTCATAAGATGGCCACATCACAATGCTTTATGATAAACTTTTTTTGTTGGTTGATGATTCCATTTGTTGAAGAACTCTCGTAGTAGTGCCCTGCTTCTGCATCCCTCTGCTCTATACGGGTAGTAGTGCAGGGCGAAGGTCATAGATTTTTGTGACTTATGCGCCCACACGGTTCCCGTCAACGACAACAAGGATCCTTCTTTGGTGAAACGTCCATTTCTTCATGCTTTAAACCGCATATCTCTCCAATTCATTGGCGCAGGTTGAATTTATGCTGGATAGCAGTGAGGACAAGAAACGGGCAACCGAGAACATCCTCAGACAGACCCGCGAAGCTTCTCGTGTGGACGTACACAAAGAGGAGGATCATTTGTGGTCTTTGGCTTCGGGGAAATTGTGCGAACAGATCAAAAAGGACGGCAAAAATTTGGGCAAGGGTATTTTGAAGGCAAGGCTAACAGAGAAGATGGAGGGAGGGAAGGAGGGAGGGAGGAAAAGGGGGGGCACGAAAAGTCTCCAAATAGTGTAACTATGTGCGATAGGAATAAAGTCCATCGTCGAGATATGAGATATGGTACTTATCTTTGTGGTCCCTATGTAATGTTTTGGAAGGCTGAACCGGGTTATGCGTGGGGAGAGGGAGTCAAGTAGAGGGAGATTACGATGCTATATGTAATGCCCCATCCGAATGCCTTTGCCAACAGAGAGCAATTTCTAACGTCATTTTTACAACTGTTTCGATGGGGTGTTCTAGATAGAATCTTCCGCTCTTGTGCAACGACTCGCCCCCTCTCAATTTCTCTCGCTCTCGCTGCCTTCCTCTACCTCAATACACGTTGTCTTAGGTCAATAGCTTCATCAACCATCGCGTGGACGTGGGACTTGTCGACTTATGCGGGCATGCGCTCGCCGACTGCTTCAAGAACAGAGACGTCACCCTCATCCTGACGGCCCAAACAAGCGGAGTCCTGCCGGCCCAAGTAGGAAAAATAACAACCTTTGCATATCGATCAGCACCCCTGCCTGACCGTTACGCCACCGTGACGAGTACTTAAATCGACCGCCTCTCCTTCTCCTACTTTTCCCTTTTTCTGTAGGCGTGTGCCCGGTACCTGGAGCGGCCCATGATTTTCGCACGGGAAAAGAAGCCCATCACCATCTCAGAGTCCTACCAGTCCCAGAGCCGGAGCCACACCCGCCGGATGGACGTCTCCCTCTTCGTCGCCAAAGAATTCATGGGCCCAAGCGATCGAGGTCAGGAATTGAGCGGCGTTCCCATCTCGAATGTCGTTCCCGTTGTCTTTTTCCGCCCACGATTGTGGACCGAAGGGAAATGGGTGTGTGGCGGCTTCCTCTTGAATCCAAGGCCCTCTCCCCTCGGCGCTCAGTCTTCCACGGCATGCGATAAATCGATCTCATACCCTCCACCATGCGTCGCTCGCATTCCCGCCCCCTTCTAATTTCTTATCCTACTTCCGTTCCCTTCACCCAGTCCTCATTGTGGATGACTTTCTGGCCTCAGGCACGACCGCTGTCGCCCTCCTTGATATCGTCCGGCAGGCTGGAGCGACATGTCTGGGCTTCGGATTTTTGGTCGAGAAAGAGTTTGAAAAAGGGCGGGAACTTCTTATAAAGGCCTTGAAAGAAGGAAAGGAGGACGATGAGAAAGGAAGGGAGGAGGAGATCCGCATTGTGTGCTTGGCGAACGTGGTCGCCCTCGACGGGGAGGAAGGGGGTGAGATTCGCTTGGGCGGTGGGAAAAAGTCATAGCCACGAAGAGAGCATGGTCTCAGGACAAGGATGATGGGAGCGATTTCGCCATTTGTTCTTCAGAGCCCAAACTAATGGGGGTAGGTGGAGATCGAGCACGAACATAGCACGGAAAGGTGGAATGAGATTCACAGCCTCTGTTTCGACGATTGGTGCTTTTTTTACAATTTGGCATAGACCATATACAATTTGGCATAGACCATACAAAAAACTAACCATGTTTTTTTGGGGAGATGGACAGGAAAGAG